CGCTCCCGAAATTTGCTCACATAATTTAGAACACTTGTTGTAGGAGAGGAAGACGACGCAAGCATTTTCTCCTTCAGCGCCTTTAACGGACCGCGAGGAGAATGAGCGAAGACTAGATCGGCAGGATTAAACCCTAGTGATTCCTGGACAGCATCTCTGGCAGCAAACAGGACAAACGGGATCCCGTCATCCCAACTTTTTCCCGTTTCAAGACAATATATTACGGAGCATGGATTTTAACGTCTGGTGCCAACGCTCCAAGGCGCCCTGTGACTTCGGGGTGGTACGCACTGGATATGACGTGTTGGACTCCGAGTTCTTGGACTACTTGATTAAACATTTGTGATTGAAAATTGGACCCTTGGTCAGTTTGGATTACCCGGGGGAGCCCACAGAGAGAGAACAAATTGGTCAACGCACATATCACGGATCGGGAATTAATTTTGCGCAAAGGGACAGCTTCTGAAAAGCGAATGGCTGCGCACATAATGGTGAATAGATATTCATTTCCATGTTGCGTACGGTTAAGTGGGCCAACACAATCTACTAGGACGCGATCAAAGGGTTGGTCTAGTGCAGGAATTGGATGCAGTGGGGCTTGGGGTATGAGCTGGTTCGGTTTACCTACAAGCTGACAGGTGTGGCAGGTGCGACAGAACTCAGCTACATCCTTTTTCATTCCGGGCCAAAAGAATTGTTTTAAAATGTGCTGATAGGTTTTTGTGACTCCTAAGTGTCCTGACCATTGACTTTCATGTGCCACCGCTAAGATAGCGTTACCGTAACAGGTGGGCACAACTATTTGGTAGACTGCATTAAGAGTTGGATCAGGAGAGACAAAGGAAGACTATTTTACGCATAAGGAGATCATTGTCAAGGAAATAACAAACACGTGCTTGTTCACGTGGCTCACCCTCCAACACTTTGAGGTATAACTGGCGCAGCGTTGGATCAGTCCTCTGCTCTGCACTCAGCCGTGCACGCGAGCCTGTTAGAGAAAGACATTCAGGTTTAAACGGAGATGCACTTTGGGTAGAGCTAGGGTTGATCTCAGCCTGGGTCTCAGGGTTAGGCGTAACAGGTGCATCTGAAAAAGGTGACAGAAATGTGTCAGATAAAGTCATTTCAGCGGTTTTGCGTGATTGGGCGCGCGTAATGGCGCAAACAGGGTAAAGCTCGGTAGAGTCTTTCCCTGGGTCAGTGAGCTGCGGGGAATCCACTATTTCCAGGGTAGGAGTAACCTTGCCCTCAGCTATGTCGATCCCAGTAGCATGTCAACACCAAGGATAGGTAAAGCAGGGCACACAGCGATTGGAAAAGTGCCTGTAACGAGCTTAGACTCAAGGTGTACCAAATGGACAGGGTGCGGACTGCAGCCCATCTCTATTCTGCGCAGAACAGATCCATAACCACAAGAAGACTCAGATGAAAAAGGGAGAGCACTGGCTAATAGTACCGACTGAGACCCGCCAGTGTCTCGCAAAATGTGTATGGGCCGCTGATCAGGTGCTTCGCCAGATAGTGAGACTAAACCTTCAAAGATAAAATGGCTTAAAACAAACGTCTGCCTTTGGACTGATATCAGGCGCTAATGCGTCAGTTTTAATTAACCCGACACCTTTGGTTGGGAGGCGGACTGATCCGCTTTTCGTTTAAGGGTAAAACAATTAGCAATGACATGTCCCGGTTTGTGACAGTAAAAGCACTCCCGTTGTTCTCAAGTTGCTTTTGTGGGGCTAGCTGAGCGAAGACTCGGGTTTGGGACCGAGAACCGGGGTCTCTCCGCTGGTTTGGGTAGGAAGGTGGACCGGTGGGTTAACACAAACTCATCTGCCAGGACAGCGGCTTCAGACAGGCCTTTAACCTTTTGTTCATTTAAATGGACAACAACTCGTTCGGGGAGATTGTTCTTAAAATCCTCCAACAAAATAAGGTCGCGTAATTCTGGGAAGGAAGTGACTTTGGCTGACAGGCACCATTTATCAAAAAGCGTTCCCTTTTCCCGAGCAAATTCGACGTAAGTCCTACTTGGGGCTTTTCTATGATTTCTAAACTTTTGGCGGTAGGCTTCAGGAACAAGCTCATAGGCACGCATGATGGCAATTTTAACAGACTCATAATGCATGCTTTCCTCAAAAGATAGGGCGCCAACGACCTCTTGAGCCTTGCCGTGCACTTTACATTGCAGCAGAGTGGACCACACATCGCAAGGGCACTGTAAAGCCATAGCGATGTGCTCAAATGCCGAAAAATATGAATCAACCTCAGCTTCGCGAAAGGTAGGTAGAAGAGAAACATATTTACTCACATCCAGGGCGCAGCTCTGGCTGGTGGAAGAACGGGCATCTGGCGTAGAACCAGAGCTGGCCGGGAGGCGGCCTTGTGCCTCCAACTCGACACGCTTTAATGTAACAGCGGTCTCTGCCTCAATTTCCATTTTTCTGATTTGGATTTGTAACTCCATATGGGCTTTGGGCTCCTTCTCCTTCACCTCGGCCTCCATTCGCAGCCGTTCCAGGCGCAACATTCGCTGAGCCGCTGCTTTCCTGGAACCGGGTGAGCTAGGGCGCGAAAGGGGGTCAAACCGGGGGAGCATGTGCGGGTGATCAGGCCGTCCAGCAGTCCCAGCAACCTCTCCTTCCACACCTGGAGGAGTCGACAGACCCTCCTCTTTGGGAGAGAAGGCAAACCTGGAGGTAGTTACATCTGGGCACACATCTTCCTGTTCCACAGCCTGTGCCTCTGGCTGCTCCTCAGGCACAACCACGACCTCCTCTGGGTCATCTGGCCAACGCAGTCTGCCCTGTTCCACCAACCAGTCTACTACAATGGATTTTAACTCTGCTTTTCTCAAGGTTTTGGAAAAGGAAATTTGAAGGCACTCTGCAATTTTAACCACATCATCTTTTTCAGCCAATGTGGGCTGCTCCAAAAAATTTTTGAGATTGAACGTAGCCATCTGTCCACTAGATGCACTTACCTGCTTACAAAAAATTTGACTTACTTACTCTGTAAAAATTATCAAGTACAATTTTTAGTCTCAGGAAATGGGTTACATTGATCCCGGACGAGCCCCCATTTGTTACGTCCCCTTTGCTAGGGGAAAAAGGGAAGTAACAATAAAACCAGGATGTTAAAGGTTTAACAAAAAATTGTGCATTTATTATTTCAGTGTAAGGGAAGAACAAAAAATTTTAAAAAAGGGAATTGAGGTGAAAAATAAATAGGAATTAAACAAAATAATCTAATAAACTAAAGAACCCTAATTAAATACAATGTACCAAATCTAACTCAAGGTTTACTGCGAACAAAAAAAAGGTGTCTCAACGAACTAAACGAGGCAACAGCCGGCCATATAACAAAATGAGACAACCCAAACATCAAACAAAAGAGCTGGCCGCAGTAATCCAGCCGCCTCGAGCAGGCGGAAGATGGTCCCTTTTCAATCCCCCCGCTATCACAGGTGGCATCTGCAGATTGGTGGGAGTGCAGAGATGAAGGGCCAATCGTGATGCGCTGCGACGCCAGCCTCCGTCCCGCCTCGGGTACTCCCGTGCATCCGGGTCCAGGGCTCGCGGACCGGGAGCATCATGCGCAGACAAAAGCAATTACAGAAGAACGGGAGTACTCTAACAAATATCAAAGGGCCGGGGCCCGTAACAGCCTTTAATGTGTCCATTTTGTGTAATATAGGACCTTTAAAACTGTGCATAGTGTCTAGCTATGACATCACAATCCTGGGAAAATTTGATCATAGTAAAATAGAAAAATTATGGCAGAGGCACTCTGATTTGCGGTGAATTTATTAAAAGTCACGCCAACGCGTTTTGACTACTTGGTCTTCATCAGGGCTAATTGAATCAACAGCAGGTGTGACCATTTATAAAGGGTTGCGAACATATATATATATATATATATATATATATATATATATATATATATATATATATATATATATATATAATTTTTTTTTTTTTTTCAAAACATTTGCATGTTGAATCCAAGTATACTGACAACATACCATTCATAACACAACAGATAAATCATGCTGTTCTGTAAAGATTGGAGTATAGTCAACAATACATAATTACGGTGGCCGACAGGGGCCAAACGCACTGCAAACAAAAAACGTGGTGCAAATGGAAAAAACGCGCTGCAAGAAACAAAAACAAATGCATCATCATTAAATGCGCTGCAAATGGAGAAACGATGCAAAGCACAAAACGACGCATACCAAGAAAACACCTGCAAAAGAAAAACGCTGCATAAAAAGTCACCACAACGGAAGTGCTCCAAACCTGCAGGGGGCGCTCTCAGTGTAACAGCTCAATGGAGAGACACACCGGCTGGAGAGAGACAGGTACTCCTTATGAGAGAGACGGAAAACGACTATAAATTACAGCGGGAACAAATTATTGTTACGGTAATGTGGCTTTTATTTTATTATATTCATGTATTGTGTTTATAAATAATATAAATATCGCTGTACAACGCAGTACTTCACGTGCCGGTTATTTTATTGTATTTCACACCAGACTTTACAAGGCGACACATTAGCATGTCGATTAGCTTGTTTGCTAATAGCGATCAAATAAGAATAAGATAAGATAAAAAGATTAGAGACATTTTGGCACCGATAAAAGGTAATGTATGTATCTCTATGTTTATATAGGGATTATGGCAGTAGTCCAATTTGTTGAACTATCCCTTCTGATACTGCTATTGTTCTAAGCATTTGTGTTTTTTGCTCTGTTGATGTTTTGTAGGTTCAAGGATGGGCTTTCAACACTTAACATGATTCATGCTTTGGAGCAGCATGCATCTATATTCAAGACATTTATGTGCTCAAGTGTGGAGCAGCTGACATCCACAATACTGGAAAATCTTTTTGAGGTTCAACTCAGTGAACAAGGCACCACAAGACGCCAAGAAGAAACCAAAGTATTAGCATTCTGGAGAGACTATCTCCTTGATACAGAAGGTTTATTATGTTTCTCTCATCTTGTATGAATAACAACTTTAATAAAACACATTTTAAGAACATGATCAATAATGCTTTTTTTTTTCCTCCCAAGATAAACAAACAGGACTCTCCCTCCCTGACATCCTGATGTTCGCCACAGGACTCTGTTCTCTGCCCCCATCTGGGATTAAGCCAAGACCAAAGTTGGTGTTTCAAAGGGTGTCTCGCTTCCCATGCAGCAGAACCTGTGCAAACACCATGGAAATTCCATTGTCAACAACTTATGAAGAGTTTCAAAAGGACATGGACTTTGGAATACAAAACTCTCCTGGTTTTGGACTGTACTAATTTTTTTATTGTATAACTGATAGGTTGACCTTTAGTGTCTGAAGTTCAACAGTTATTACCTGTATTAGTGATGTTACAACTCAGCCATGTTCTTCAATCTAATATAAAGTTCCACACAGGTCTCCCAGGTCATTGGCTGCATTAGACCACTCTGTCTTTGTAGATCCTCAAAGTGTGACTGGAGATGACGATCTCCACATGAACTGTGTGTTGCCTCAATCTGAAATGGCCCCAGTTCCTCCAGTGAAACCGGAAACCCACAGTCAGTTCCACCAAACCTGGGAGTAAAAATATGTTACGTGTAGCTTGGACTCAACTAGCTGAGCGCAAGACTGTTACCATATGCAATACTATTAAGTGCAAGGGTTTTTCACATCTTTTCTTAATGTACTTCACTTCACACCTGTTGCTCTTTGTTATTATATTGTGATGTGTGGGTTACTGTATCCAAGTAATTTCCCTTGTGGATCAGTAAAGTTTGTCTAGGTCTATTGTTACATTTTATCCAGTTATTTCAATTAAGGTAATAAATAAATACATAAATGAATAACCTGTGAGGTAGGCTGTACATGACCTCTGGTTTCCCAGATGGACAACGAGACTGTTTAGCAGGTCTTATTGTATGAGTGTTCCACTTTTTTCTGCATTCATCAAGGTCATGTTGTAGCATATCCATAAATGCAAATCGCAGGAGGCATGTGTGCTCATGACTGCTGTTAAAGAGATTTCGCTCTCTCAAATCATTCATAAGGTCCATCCAAAATTGAGACCTGAAAACACAAGCTGGAATTAGGGCAATGCATTTCAGGGAATGTTTTTGGATTCTAATGCAATTGAAAATGTTTTAATTTGTTGTTCAAAAAAAGCAAGAAACTTTCAAGGACCACAATGGTCTATTTTCTATGTGTTTTAAAGACTATTTTAGAAATGTGCTTCTAGCATGTAAAACACTTAAAGAAATGCCATAATAACACCTTTGTTTGCGAAAATAAGACCACCAGCTTTCAATTCTTTGGTTTGCCATTGAAGAGCCATACAAATGACTAGCAGCCCCAGCATAGTCGTCAGTGTGAGATGATCTTAAGGCACACTGAATTGCTGCCATTGTGCCATTTTCAGTGCCACAGTCAGTACGAAGTCGCATTGGAATGATTCCATATTCTGTCAGGCAGTTCATGTAATTCTGGGCAATGACCACTGGGTCATTGTTGCTTGCTCCACATTTCAACCACAGCACCTTTCGCGAGTATCCATCTATGCAGCCACTGATTCCAAAACCGTATGGTTTCAACTTATCGTATCCATCCACATGCCACACATGGTTCGGTCCATCAGAAGTGTAAACTCGCTTAACAAATCTTCTGCTTGCACGATGTTGAATTCCTTGTGGATCCAGTTCTCTCTCATCAGGGCCATAACATCATCCCTCCTAACTGTCAGCGAGTATTTTAGGCGCAATGTCTGCCACATTGAACGGTAGCCATAGTGTTGCCCTGGACCCTTTAACTCCTCCTGTATGGCCCCACAAACACTGGCAAGAGTAGAGTAGTTCTTTTGTCTGAACAAAGACAGCATATTCAGCTTCCTCTTCAAGGAGCGAAGGCTCATGTGCACATTGTGTTTAGAAGCTAAAAAATCCAAAATCTCCGCATTGCTGTAGCTCTCATTAAAATATCTTCTTATTAGGTCATCTGTGAGGACATCTGATGCTGACCCTATAAACATAAAGTGGGATAAAGGCAGACATTTTATTAGAATTATCACAAGCCAAATATACATGAATGCATTTTACATGAAAAAGTGGCATTAACATCATTGATCATATCAATGTTATTTAAAAACTGGATATGAGTCCACTTACCGTCTGCATATTCTGCTAAAAAATGCACACTGGAGCCACATGAGCCACAGGACATTGGTACATCGGTAGTTCCCAGATCGTGTCCGCAGTAAGGACAAAACATATTGGCCTGGAAAAAGACGATAGATCAGTATAAACTAGAAAACTGAAATCAGAAACGTGATAAGTAACGTCACTGATATGGGTATTTATACACTACCTCTTAATATACACAAACAGCGGAGATCATAAGTGTACAAGTTAACTGCTGGCATAATAAGCATAATACTTAATGTGCAGCGTTGTATCGTATGGAAGACTGCGATAAGATGGCTTTTAAATGTACTATTAAAACGGGTGTTTTGTATCAATCTCTAATCTTTTTATCTTATCTTATTCTTATTTGATCGCTATTAGCAAACAGGCTAATCGACATGCTAATGTGTCGCCTTGTAAAGTCTGGTGTGAAATACAATAAAATAACCGGCACGTGAAGTACCGCGTTGTACAGCGATATTTATTATTTATAAGCACATTACATGAATATAATAAAATAAAAGCCACATTACCGTAACAATAATTTGTTCCCGCTGTAATTTATAGTCGTTTTCCGTCTCTCTCATAAGGAGTACCTGTCTCTCTCCAGCCGGTGTGTCTCTCCATTGAGCTGTTACACTGAGAGCGCCCCCTGCAGGTTTGGAGCACTTCCGTTGTGGTGACTTTTTATGCAGCGTTTTTCTTTTGCAGGTGTTTTCTTGGTATGCGTCGTTTTGTGCTTTGCATCGTTTCTCCATTTGCAGCGCATTTGATGATGATGCATTTGTTTTTGTTTCTTGCAGCGCGTTTTTTCCATTTGCACCACGTTTTTTGTTTGCAGTGCGTTTGGCCCCTGTCGGCCACCGTACATAATCCCTTAAATTGCATAGCACACTTCGAAAATGTTTTCAATAAATCATGAAGAAAACACCAGTGATTTCAAAACAAAAGTAATGGAAAAAATACCCAGGTATTTTTATGGTATTTAATTTGATCATAGTGTTTTGTGAGGCTCAGACAATGGACAGACAAAGGACTTTTTACAGAGAATTACTTAACACAACATGAACGAAGCTAAATGCAACTCCAGGTATGTTTTAATGAAGGAAGAATATTCTACCACGGTTAGAAGCTCCAAAACACCCAGTCAGCATAATATGTGTTCTCCGAAAGCGAGTCTGCTATAACCTTTAAACTCCTCCCCTGTCCACTCAGCGCTCCTTTGATTATTTGGGGGCACAAAAACAAGTTGAATTCTGGGAGATAGTGCTCCAGCAGTGGAAGATACTCTCCTCTGGGACGGTTTAATCACAGTCTCACCAGTCAGATCAGAGCAGGCAGCCCACAGACCCCAAGAAGAAAGACGAATTTAAACAGTGACAAAGGCCCGGGGGATTGGGAGGGCGAGGATAAGTGGAGAGAGAGGTGCCTGCAGAGCCTTCCTCTCCAGTGCCTGGAGAGGAAGGAGTCTGCAGGTGCCCACAATGTGAACGTGTATTGTGTGTTGAAATGGGAAAGTTTTCTAAAGCAAAGTCTGATATCAAAGGAGCAGATTGAAGATATATTTTGATAATGGACTTAGATGGAAAAGTTATAAGAAAAGAAGAGAAGAGTCCAGATTCTCAGACTGGTTGAAAGTAGAAGTGTGAATTATTAGACTGAGCCACAGAAATGACTCATTGAGGTCATCGAATTGAACTGCTCAAACATTTTTCAGAACTAACCAACTTGTGCAGAAAATTGACTTTTTGGAGCTTTGATTGACTTTTTGGGGCTTTCTACCACGTTATAACATTGTTCCCCTCTCAAAAACTTGTCTGAAGAGGTTTTAGATGTCATCCACGCATGTTTGAGTAATCTAGTGATCTCACCCGGGCTTTATTCAAACCCCTTTTACAGTTAGAAGCGCAATACTGTCCAAAGATCCCACATGGCAATTCTCCATAAATATACAAAAATACAACTTCAAAAACCTGGTGCGATGTGCAGGATGCATGCTGATTTTGATGTCCAGAAGGGGGAATGACTTAGCACAGGAAGCAGTGGGAAGGGGGACTCAAACTTACGAAACATGGTAGGACACAGCTCAGGGTCAAGGAGGAAACAAAACCAAGATGCTAAAATAGTCAAATAAAGAAGCAGTTTAACTGAAATGTAAAAGGTGCATTAAAAGAGATCTAAAATAGTTGCACAAAAGATAAATTAGAAGGTTTAAACAAAAGAGGAACCAGGTTTAAACAAGATTAACAAGATTTTAACAAAAAGAGGAACCAGGTTTAAGCCAAAGGTGACTAAGAGGAAGTCTAGTTTAACTAAGAAAACGAATGGTATAAATTCTTGACAAACACAATGTCATTGTTGACTAATTGAGATAGGTCGAACGCTCCTAGGAAGCCCTTTTTCTTATGAGTGACCTGCACATGCGTCATGACCAGGACCATCCAAACCGATCATCTCTTTATTTAGGTCAGCTACTGTTGTGAGGAAAACTTTGATAGGTTTAAATCATTCTCATAAGACTCAGCCCTGTAGGAGGATGGAGGATGGTGCACTTGTTGTAGTCTGTTTTCTGGGAGTTGTAGTTTTAATTGAACAGCTGTTGGTTAGGAGGATCAGAATCCACCTAAAGCAGCGGTAGCTCCTTCTCCTCACTGCTATGTCCTTCTCTTTGGTCCTTGTAGTTGACCTCATGGCGTTGCGCTCAGGACAAGGAAGGAAGTATTTTTGCCCTGTCTTGTTTTCTATTTTTGTGATAGAAAACAAGACAAATTTCATACAGACTAAACATGTGTCTCTTAGTTCATGGAATGAGGATCTCAAAACAAACTTGTCAAAAGAGGATTGGGAATCAGCATGTAGCAAAGCTCACAAACAGTTAATTAATACTCGATTTAGGCTTCTGCAATATAAGTGGCTCATGAGAACATATGTAACACCAGTTAAACTGAACCTTTATAACCGTAACATACCAGATGTTTGTAGCAAGTGCACTGATGCTAAAGGAACTCTTTTCCACTGCATGTGGCAATGCCCTGAAGTAGGACTCTTTTGGGGGGAGGTTAGAAAAGTGGTGGAGATGATTGTTTCTAAGAACATTCCAACAAATCCTGTTATGTTTATTTTAGGTATATATCCCAAAAAGCACAAGTTTACTAAAAGTGAACAGATTATTACCTCCGCCAAGGAGGTTGTGTTTTTGCCGGTGTTTGTCTGTTTGTTTGTTTGTTTGTTTGTCTCTTAGCAACATAACTCAAAAAGTTATGGACCGATTTTGATGAAATTTTCAGGATTTGTTGGAAATGTGAAAAGGAAGAAATGATTTCATTTTGGGGATGATCCGGAAGAAATCCTGGATTCTGGATCACTTTGAAATTTTAGTTAACATTGTGGTAAATGGGGCCAAAAATTTTGTTTCTCCGTTAATTATTGACCAAACCCCATGAAATTTGACTCAGGGATGGACAATGGGATCCTCTTTCATATTCCAAAGGCTGATCCGGATCTGAACCAGAAGACTGATTTTATCGCAATTTATATAAAAAATGGGGGTAGTCCTTGGCGGAGGTCTGCGCTCTCTGAGTGCTTTTCTAGTTATTAATGTGTTTCCTACAAGCAAAAAGAACAATTGCAATGTTTTGGGAAAAAAACCTGTAGGCCTAGGTTGGTGCACTGGGTAAAACAGCTGCTCATAGTTTTTCCCTTGGAAAAGATCACATGAATTAGGAAAGGAAAGTTGAAATTGTTTGACAAGGTGTGGGCTCCTCTTAAAAGTTTTGTAGGGAATCTTAATTTGACATATGGTGCTGAAGATGATTGAGATTATTCTGTAGACCTTTTGTTTTTTATTTATTTATTTATATTATATTTTTTATGTATGTATATGTGTATACATCTTGTATTTTTATGTTGTGTATATATGTATATATATGTTTATATTTACTGATATTTGGGTTGGGAGAAAAAAAAATGTATGGATGGCTATAACTTAATTTTCTAACTGTTTGTTTGTTTTGGTTTTTTGTTTGATTGTTTGTTTGTTTGTTTTTATGTACATGACTGATAGATTGTGTGGTTGTGCTTTATAATGTACAAAACAAAATAAAAACATTGTTAAAAAAAACCAAAAACAAAACATGTGTCTCTTTACTCTTTACCAGCACAGAGACCTGACAAAGACACTAAAGTGGCATCCTGGTGACAAAGAGCTGCAGCCCAGAATGACAGGAGAGCTGTGGCAGGTGAACAGGGCTTAAACGGGGGCTGCAGCAGGTGTACTAACTGGCAGAGCGGTGACATATACTGTTCCAATCAGGGAGAAGGAGCAGAGTCCATGAGCCAATCAGGAGCAGGACTTCAAAGCAGTCCACCAATCCACAGTGTTGGGGAGTAACAGATTACATGTACCGGAGTTACGTAATCAGAGTGTAAATTATGAGTAACTGTATTCAGTTACAGTTACTGTTTCAGTGAGTGGTAATTGGATTACAGTTACTTTGTTGAAATAAATGGATTACACGGCGGGATTTTTCTGTTTTCACATTTGGGGCTATGTCCCTTTTTTTTCTCAGTAGTTCCACTCATTGCCGGACACTAAACCAGGTCTAAACCAGGTCTAAACCCAGGTCTAAACCAGGTCTAAACCAGGTCTAAACCAGGTCTAAACCCAGGTCTAAACCAGGTCTAAACCAGGTCTAAACCAGGTCTAAACCCAGGTCTAAACCAGGTCTAAACAGGTCTAAACCCAGGTCTAAACCCAGGTCTAAACCAGGTCTAAACCAGGTCTAAAACCAGGTCTAAACTAGGACTAAAGCAGGACTAAACCAGGTCTAAACCAGGACTAAAGCAGGACTAAACCAGGACTAAACCAGGACTAAACCAGGACTAAAGCAGGACTAAACCAGGTCTAAAACAGGATTTAACAGGAGTAAACCAGAACTAAACCAGGACTAAAACAGTATTTAACAGGACTAAACCAGGTCTAAACCAGGACTAAAACAGGATTTAACAGGAGTAAATCATGCTGCGCGGACGTGTCTCTTCGTCTTCTATCAATAATATTTTTAATACGGTTAAGTAAAGACTTTTCATTTTCTTTTAGCAGAGAAAACATTATGTTACTATTTCCTCGTCTTTACTTCTCTTCAGCAAATCAAGTAATCCAAAGTATTCAGATTACGTTACTCACCTAAAGTAAATTAATGGATTACGTTACAAACTACATTTTGGGGCATGTAATCTGTAATCTGTAGGGGAATACATTTTTAAAGTAACCTTCCCGACACTGCCAATCCAGAACAAGAGCACACACAGTCAAGGTTCAATAGAGGAAAACAGACATCAGCAACAGACTTCACACAAAATACAAAATACACCAGGATGGGAAAGAGCTAAAGATCTGGGGCCGTAACAACAAATTATTAAATGAACAACATGTAAATATGACGTTTTCAGAGAATATAAGAGGAGAATCTAACACATATTTAGATCACCATGTAAACTTTTATTGTTTTGAAAATGTCAGAACTGCAGAAAATAATGTCTTAACATATTTTAGAAGTGTCAGATTCATTTGTGTTGTTCTGAGTCTCCCCTACCTTTGCTCTCTACATTAAGTCTCTCCCCCTTCAGAGCTCAACACAACACAATCAGCATGCATCCCACTAATGAAACTACTGCACATCACATCAGGTTTGTCAAGTTGTTGTGTACAGTTTTGAATCTTTTTTTTTCATCGTTTTTGTATACTTGTGGAGAGTTGTAGTGT